CTTCCTTCCTTCTTTCTTTCTTTCTTTCTTTCTTTCTTTCTTTCTTTCTTTCTTTCTTTCTTTCTTTCTTTCTTTCTTTCTTGCCATAGAAAAAAAGAGTAACAGGGCTATCCATGAAGAGGATGTCAAAAAAGTCAAGATGGTGGTCATGACTGCATGTTCAGAGTCCTGCCCTTTTTTATGAATTGTGATGTATATAAAAAAGAGGTGGGCCTTTGACATCTCCACCCCCCACAGATATCCCTGACTACCAGGAATATGCACTAATACATTAAGGAAATTTAATCTGAAAAAGAAACAAATGCTCAGCTCTCTCCAAGTTTGAGAGGTACAAACTTGTAGTTCAAATCTCATACCCCACTAGTAGGCAGAGTGGTGTCTTCCATATATTTTGGACTTCAAATAATACCAGCCGAGCCAGCATGACCAATGGCAAGGGATTATCAAAGGACTGTGTTCCATCCAAAATACGAAACATGAACATACACTCTGTTTCGAAAAAAGCTGATTAAATAAGCAATATAATTTATGCATTTATGTCTTTTTTCTTAGCAAAAGGGCACATTTTAAACATAGTACTGGACCATATCCACTAATGATTTTTACTTTATAAGTTGCCAATGCATCTAAAGCCATTCCAGTGCCATTCTTGTAAATAAAACAATACTAGAGATTGGCACTTTGCTTTGCCTAATGCCAGCTTCCCATTTATTTGTGGTTTTAGTTAAAATAATCATAAATAAAAAGAAATAGTACAGAAAGCTTGGCAGGTACCAATGGAGGAATCCAGAGGTACTATGTTGCCTACCCCTATCCTAGGCTCTTCAGCAAAGCTGCAAAACCACATTAAGTTTTGGTCTGGCCATCTAATAATTTAGTTGTGCCTTTTTACATCATTCAATATTTAAGTGCATTTGCATTTCATTCTTAAATATCCAGAAACTGCCATGAAAACCAGAACAGTCAGATTATTTTTATTCAGATTCTATTCCTGAGCTATAGTTTCTTCCCCTAAGCTTTCAGTAAATCACCTACAAACAAATTAAATTTGCCTCTAATGAATATATATTTAGATAACAGCAGTAAAACAATTTCCATGTCTTCTTTCATCCAAACAAATCCATTAATATATCTGTTCACTCCTTAACCAAGTCAATGTTTTGATCAAAAATTTTTGTCTCAATCAGCTAGTAAATTTCAGAATCACAATGGATTTTCTGTTCGGTTATATTTCTTATTATAAAATTGATAAGCTTACTTCCTATCTTGCAACCTCCCCCCAATAATACAGCATATGTCAGGACAATACATATTCAGTTGTTAATTGAACTGGTGCAAGTGCAGTGCGTAAGGTGTTAGACTAGGACCTAGAAGTTTCAGATTCAGGTCTTCCATCAGCCCTGAAAGCTCACTGGAAGGCTTTGGGCCAGCCACTATCTTTCAGCCTAATCTGTCCCAGAGGGTTGTTGTAGAAAAAAGTAGGGACGACTGATATTGGAGGTGGATATGCACTCATAGGAGTTCTTGTCCTCCCTTCACCCATATTCAGTATATAGGGTAAGGGATGTGTAAGAGATTTCAGCATTTTTATACCACAGAAAGCTGGAATGTCAGATATTCTGCTCAATAAGCCCACCAAAAGAAAGAAGCATCTTTTGTTAGCCTATATGTTATGTTAAGAAAGGAAGCTTGAAAAAAAAAAATCCTCAGGAATCTGACTAACACTGTAGTGCTACAGAGAGGGTGTGGGTGTGTAGTGTGTGAGAAAGTGAAGAGAAGGGTTTTGTTGGAGATTATTAAAAGTGAAATCCAAGCCAGGAGGCAGAGGCATGGCAGGCAGAAACAAGCGTCCATATGAGTCAGAGGCAAAATGAAAAATAAAATTATGTCTTTTAAGAGATATTTTTATTTTATTTATTCCATTTATAGGCCACCCCAAACAACTCTGGGTGGCTTACAACTAGGAATCAATATCTATCTATAAACATATAATAGATACAACATATGGGAGGAGCAAAATAATCAAAACGGGAACAATTCTAGGAAAGGAACAAAAAGGAGGCTCCACATAAAGGTGGGAGCCACACAACTCTCTGGAGGGAGATCATTCCAGAGGGCAGAAATGGTACAGAGTGGGCACATTTCCTGGGTCCCACAAGGTGACACTGCTTAACTGATGGGACTTGGAGTGCATCTACTCTGCTGGACCAAACTGGATGGGCAGAGATGATCGGAGATAAAAAGGACCCTGACTTTTTTTCAAGCTTAGAGTGTCAGTATTGCTTTGCAGCCCCCCTCATGTGATGGTAGGAGCAGCAGACGTAACACATCATCCCATCTGGTACGTCTCAAGAGGCCTGTCACATAGGTTGCTCCAGATAGTTCGGTTTTTATTATTCGTGTAGCAGATGTTCTGCTGTGAGGGCATTTTCCATTATCTGAATGTACTATAGTGACCTGTTTTGAGAATCTTTATACTCGAAAAGTAGTTTATAAATATTGTCAAGTAAATAAATAAATAAGGTTGAACCTTCATTTTCGAAGCTTGAGACCCCCAACTAGCAAACATTTCTACTGACTGGACAAATACAATATGAACTTTCTGAGATTAATGCCAGTATACAGGTGGAAAGAATCCCATAATAAACTTGCTTTTCTCTGGCTGATATCTAAATAAGGGTTTCTGTTAAATGAAAGTTATTTTGAATTTCCTTCCTGCCAGGTGGCTGAAAGGAATGTTAAATGCCCCATTTAACAAAGGACAGAAGCCTGAAGAACCTTTCTTTGCACTACAACATTATTATTTCAGAATGTCATTTGGTAATTTTGCAAATCCACATGGAAGCAGTGACGTGCTTTTTAAAATGTCACTGCATTAATAATTACGAAAAGCATTAATAATTAGGAGACAAAGAAGTGCCCCAAATCAGTCTTTTATCCAATGACATTGTTGAAAAGTTCTTTTATTTGTGCCGGTTTTAGTCACCAGGGCACGTCTGCCCAATTTCTTCCATAACTGAAGTTGGCAATTTTATACAACTCTGAGAGAGGAAGAGAAATGCATGTGCCGAAGCTACAGCTATTAGTGATTTTAGTGAGAGAGAGGATGAATAAAATAGAGGGGAGGGGAGGTTTGTGGAAGTGAGCAAGAGCTCCTCTGCTTTTATTATCATCTTAGACACTACGTTCCAGCGAGAGTGCCTGTGCTTAGCCTGGTGAAACAGCAGTACCTAAGCAGATGTGTGATTCCTAAAATGTGCAAAAATATGAACAATAGAAAAATAATTCTAAAAGGAGAAATCTCAGTTCTGACAAATAATAATAGTATTAATAGTAATAATAATGATAATAATTTATAAACTTGTATGCCACCCGACTCTCAATGACTCTGGACAGCTCACAATAATCAAACCAAGAAATTACAATAAAATAAATAAAAGGTAAAAGATAACACTAGCTTTATCACTCAAGAACATGATGTGGAAATTCTTTTTTTTTTTCTCCCCCTTAATCTATATTTTATGAGAAGGAAAAAAAAAATGGAAAAATTGGTGGGAAAACACAGGGAAAGTGTTACAAATGGAAGATACATTTTATGGAACCCCCTTCCCCCCCAAAATGTTCCATGAATGAGACAGATAAACTGCCCAATATAAGTTGTATCTGGAAACACTTCAGTGTAGTGTAAATATGCCTCTCTATTCCTTTATTATGTTAATTAAATCAGATACAGTTATGCTCTAAGAAGATGCTAATTTCTTCATTGGAATGAATATAAATACTGCACAGGATTTCCACAAACAAATTACTTTGCTATGAACTGAGGAAAACTCATTGCACCATCTTAACTGGCCCAACTCTATATTATCAGCTTAGTGCTAACTAAGCCAGGCTTCTCTAATCCTGATTATCAAATCTGTCAGAACATTTAAAAATGTTATAACGTTTTAAATAGAGTCCTTTGACACAATAACCTTAAATCCTTTGATATGGCTTTATTTCACTTTTAAAAAGTATATGCCATCCTTCAAAAACCCAAAAATGGTAGCTAAAATGTGTAGCATATAAACCATATTTTTAAACAGCAGGATTCAATTTAATTAAAAGCTCTGTGACAGCATGAGTTAATTTTAAAATGCTAATCAGTTAAAAGGCTTGGGAGAATAAACATGTATTTGCCCAGCACTGGAAAGACCATAAAGCAGAGAGCTGGCAGGCTTAACTGGGGAGAGCATTCCAGAGTCGTGCCATGCTTGAGGCGGCCTGCTCTGGGCCCCATTCTCCAGACCTCATCATGGGAAGACATTGAGAGCAGGGCCTTGATGGTTATCTGAGGAGTGAGGGGTGCAGGGAGAAACATATGGGAAGTGGCTGCTAAAAATCACTCCCAAATACCACCAATCAGCCTCACCACTGGATCAAGATGCAATCCCTGCCCCATGAGTTGTTACGAATAGTTTTCCATGTTGTGATATTTCATTGATTTAATTTTTACCCCAACTTCCTTCTTAACAGAGAGCTCATCTCATTATACATTCCCTCATATTTGCCTACATCATACTTCACTAGTATTAAAGTATAAGAAATTATGAAGTTGCACCATAATAGATTCAGAATTCTGTTTTGTGAAAAGTTGGTCATAACAAAATGCATATTGAAGTATTCAAAAATGGTGGGTCCAATGAATGAAATATATTGAATTGTGCTGTTTATATTTTTTTGCCTAGAAGATCATGTACTCAAGAGCAACAACAAAAATATGAACATCAATGACAGAATGTGAAATAATGAAATGTAACCAACAATTGTTTAATTATACACACATAGTTAGTGGCTCTGGCAACATCCCTTCACATTTGTGTGTGTTTACTCTTCTATTTCAGAATTAAAAGCAAGGTTTTTCTTGAATTGCATGCAGCAAAACAAAAATGTGAAGCACTGAAAAATTCCCTTTTGCTTTTTCAAAATTACTTTTAAAGACTACTATGCTTTCCCTAAGGACTTAGCATCTACATTTCTTAAAATCTGGTTTTGATACCAGTGAAATTTTCTCCATCTACCAAAAAGTTTGGGACTAGAAATTTAGCCTCAAACCTGAATTAAAGACTACTATGCTTTCCCTAAGGACTTAGCATCTACATTTCTTAAAATCTGGTTTTGATACCAGTGAAATTTTCTCCATCTACCAAAAAGTTTGGGACTAGAAATTTAGCCTCAAACCTGAACCAATGTAAAACATTTATCTCATAACTCTAAGACTAACATTTGAGCTGTTACTCTTTCATTGCAGTCCTATCTATATGTTGCATCTGCCCGAAAGGAACTGAAAAATTCCTAAGAGACATTGTATTATAGTGTTTAAATTATTGGACCATGACTAGGGTGACCTAGATTTATGTTCCTACCTGTGCCTGTAACTTTGGGTCAATCACTATCTCTCAGCCCAGCCTTCCTACCTCATAGGATTTTTGTTCTAAAGATAAAATCATGGGAGATTCCCAGCTTTGCTATACAGAGCACCAAAGGAAAGGTGAAATAAAATGTAATAATAAAAAGACCACTTGTATTAACAGAGTTTAAATATGACACAATTTAAAATGTGCAGATTATCAGTATAGCACAAGGAGAAAAACTGAACAATGTAGTAGGTGTGGATCAGAGTTTAGAATTTTGTGCACACTCAGGAATAAGTTTTTAACTCAATGGATTACCTTGATACCTGCAAAGTCAGTGTGTATCTTTAAAAACAGTTCTCTTGGAAGTCAGTTGGATAATTCCTATAGTCTAAAATAGCCTTATTCAGCCTGGCACACCTCTGATGTATATGTTACTAGAATTCCAACTATTTATGGCCTTTGACCATGCTGACTGGGAATTCTGGACATTGCAAGCCCACGACAGCTGGAAGATTGCAATTTGGGAAAGGCAGGCCTTCAATTTTCAAAATGCTTAAGAAGATGATGGGTGTATGTATGTATGTATGTATGTATGTGTGTGTGTGTGTGTGTGTGTATGTGTGTATATTCCTTCACACTCATACGTAGGAAATAGTGCTCAGGAGAAAATTGTGCTTTATTATATGAAAACAAGCAGACTGGTCATATGAGATGTATTTTACCTTCAAACATTTATGAATTTTGAAAGCAATCCATTACATATTAATCCATAAAAGGAGCTGCTGTATCATCTTCAGAAGATCTTTGAAACGTTAGTTTTCATTCAGAAGTATTAAAGGTGGGTGAATCAATATAAATGGATTTTAGTGATGGCTTCTTACCAATTAGTACTGTCTCCTGGTGTTAATAAACTGTGTTCTGAAATAGCTTGCACAGATTTATATCAGGCAGTAAATTGTACATTCAAAGAAGAGTTTGTTATGTGCATCTGTATTTAAAAATCCAGTAAATTTGGCAACTGCATAAAGATGAATACAACTATGTTGTCAAAACATTTATTGAAAACTGAATACTAATTTTATAGGAAAAAGTGAATGCTGAATCATGGGCACCCAGGGAAGGCAAGGGAAGCAAACGTCAACATGTATGTGATGAGTAATCTTGAAAATGCCATGACTGATCTACTTGCTTCAGATACCTGACACAAGATAGCATTTGTGTGATTACTTCATATCATTGCACTTATGTCATCATTTTGCCATTATGATAGTTTGCTGCATAACCTGCTGTATTAACTATAAAAATGTTTTTCCCCTTGGACTTATTGCCCATTACTGGAACAAGTGTATAATTTATTTTCTGCATTATTATTATTATTATTTAATATTAGAGTTCTTGGCTTAGTCAGATCTGCAAGTCATAAACATCCTTATGTGAAAGGAGAATAAGAAATGCTGCCATCGCTGCAGCTAATAATAATAACAATAAAAACAACAATAAACATATTCTGATGCCCTGAAGCAATATAACAGAAAATGCTATATAACAACTATGAAATGCAGAAAGGCTGAAAGTCAAAGGGACAAATTTTAAAATACAGAGAACTTTCCAGGATAAAAGTTTAGTAATGTATAGAGAGAAAAAACACCATACAGCATGTTCTTTTCTTTTCTTTATTGTGTATGGTCTCAACAGAATGAAGAGAAGATCATTCTTACAATTTCAAGGCACATCTACATAACAAATTTGTCCCTTTGATTTTCAGCCTTTCTGCATTTCATAGTTTTTATATAACATTTTCTGTTATATTGCTTCAGGGCATCAGAATATGATTATTGTAACTGTTATTATTATTAGCTGCAGCAATGGCAGCATTTCTTATTCCCCTTTCACATATTGCCATGTAATTTTGAACAAAAATGTGTTTTTTTAGAAACATGCTGTCAGTAAAAGGCATTTACTCCTTGATAGAGGAAGAACTCATTGACTATGTTATCCATCAAAAGCCCTAGTACTTCTTAAATGCTCATCTGAGCAAACAGGCAGGCATAAATGACTGACTGACTGACTGACTAAATAAATAAATAAATCTTACCGTAGACTTACCCAATGTTCATGCTAGGTACGAATGCTGAAGCTTGTACACAAAGACATCTGAGAGACACTAGACTTGAGAAGGCTGGCCTACAAGCATAGAAAGAGAGATTCAATGTTCAGCTGGATGGAATAGATAGTCATAATCACTTTAGAGAATACACTACTGTCTGTTGCATAATGATCAGCCCTGGCACGAGACAATTTAGTGAATTTCTATCCTCATGTTTTTGTTGTTATAGCAACAGAACACCTTTTCATAAGCAGAGTTACTCTTTACACCCTATAAGTTATTCTGAAAATATTGTATACTCCAATAATAAAGTTGTCTCTGAAAGTAGCTGTCAGAAACCAGAGGGAACCAATTCTTTCATAATGATTGATAACATTGGTGGGTTTCCTATTAAAGGGATAAAATACTACTTCAAGTAGAAAAGAATTGTGTGTGTGTGTGTGTAATTATTATCAGCTCAAATCAATCTAGTGCAGGATGAAAATCTCTTCATTTAAGGTTGTGGTCTATAATATACCACACTAGTCTAGTGTGGGTTGGTAAGTAGATACCCAAAGTCACCTAGATGGCTTCCATATCTAAGGGAGAACTAGAACCTGGGTGCCCCTACTCAAGCCTCTTAACCACTACTTTACCTTACACACACACATAAGTAATAAATAAATGGATGAAGAATGAATGTGGATCGAATATAAATGTTAGCGGCCAGTATATGTAGGTGCTACAATCATTTAGAGAGAATGATTGAATCACAAGATCAGTGTATGAAGGAAGAGTGAATGGACTGAGGGAAAGGGAAGGACCTGAAAATGCTGTGGTTGGATGAAGTTGATGAAATCCTCAAAAAGAGAAAGATGAACAATTTAAAAATCCATGTATGGATTGGTATATGGCTCTAGTAGAAACAAGACCTGAAAGATATGGAGAGGCATGATGAATTGGGTTGTGCTGTAAGTTGTAAACTAGATTTAGTTAGATTTACTTTCATCTCCTGCACTGAACTTCTTTTGCTTACTATTTCTTGCTTTGTCTGTGCTTCACATACAGTAATGTTGATTCCCCCAAAAGGGACTATTGTGATGGGTATATATGTATGTACTAACTTTATAGTATAAGCACTTAGTAAAACTTATAAGGAGACAGATAACTGATAGCCATTCCTGGAGTAGAATTAATGTAAAAAGGAATGAAGTAGTGCTAAATATATTCATATTCTTCAGTTAATAAATGTGGTTCATGAACTAATGATGCCTTGCATATGTGAAACAGCTCATCACAGATGGTCAGAATTCCCACATCATAATAATATGCGGTTGAGGTATTAAACATACATGCAAGACGAAATCATTGGTCGAAATCAAACAACTAGACTCAGTAAATTTCAGCTTTTTGCCTCGCCTAATTCTCTTTTGGGAGTATGATCCCTAGCACAAAGGTCAAGTGCAATCTTCAATTCACAAACAGTTGGTATTCCTGTATTAAACAATAATGGGAAGGGAATAATTGAGTGCCAGATCAATGTTGTGGTTAAGCTGTTGGATTAGGACAGAAAGACCCAAATTCCAGTCCATTTTTGGTGGTGGAAACTCACTGGGTGACTTTAAACTAGCCACTCTCAGCCCAAATGTACCTTGTGTGGGGAAAAAGAGGAAAGAGCACTATGACTGCTGCCTTGAATGAAAGCTAGGATATAAAACTAATAAATAAAATGGAGGAAAAATGAAATAATGCCCATAAGCAGAGCTGAAAAATGATGATAGTGATGATAATAAGGGAATATTGTCACTCAGCTACATTAGCAGCAATGCTAGTGTGTGTGTGTGTATCTGACTTTCTGCTCTGTATTATCTTTTGACCCTTGCAAGATCCTCTTAGTTGGGAACAGACAATGACTTAATTTCTTAGGTTGCAGTGACTGGGACACTTGATGGTCAGACTGCAATGGCTATTTTGATCTGAGGATAGACCAATTACTGAATCCAAACCTTTTCATTCCTACTATCCCCACTACAACATTTTATGAAGCAGCAAAAATCCCTGCCCCCTGACATGACTGCTGCAGCACTACAGTTTACAACATGCTAGAGCTCCTGAGCAGTAAATCAGACCAGAGCTTCACAGAGGGTAGCGATTCAGATCAGGGCGAGCTTTTCTGTGCCAGTCCTGCTGGCTGCCAGCCAACAAGATAGCAAATTGGAAGCCTGCCACAGTCCAGTTATATGCAGGCTCAGGCAGAACTTTTAGAAGAGTCCTTTTTACCAATATGATAAGACAGCAACCTTAAATGTAGTCACAAACGTGGTACAGGACAAGACCAGAAATCCAATAAACAAAGCAACAGATCCAAAGGGCAAGACAAGAGATATGGTGAGGTGGAATCCAGAGTTCTAAGCATGGCACAGCAAGGTAAACGCGACAGAGCTGAGGCTTGAAAAGTTGTTCTCAGTGTCTGCTCCCAGGAATTGAGGCCAATACATCAGCAACATTGAGCATCCCCCAATATGCAGCTGTGGCACTTTACTCTTCAGCATTGGTCTTCTGCAGGCTTGTTCCTTGGCAAGTCTTTCAGATGTACAGAGTTTTGCTCTCTGCTGTTGAATCTTTATTACACACCTCTGCTTGGGACTGGGCAGCTGGACTTCAGAATCTAAGAGGCTGTCAGCGAGTGCAGGCAAGTCATCCTGGGAGCCCCCTGGGCTGCCTCAACTGTCTTTGGCTTCACCACTACTGGAAACACCCATGTCAAGACTATTGTCCCTAGATACTCCTCAGTCCACTTCCTCTCCCTCCTTCTCAACAGAGGATAAGTGCAGCAGGGCCATAACATCAGCTATAACTGCCTGCTCCACAACAATCTCTTCCAAATTGGTCCATCTATCTCAGGAGTCAAGCTTTCTCTGGATCTGGAGCTCTTAATGAGATGAAAAGATAAGGTTTTGTAGTAGCAAGCACTAGCTTGTTTTTATGTCTGAATGCAGTCATACTGAAAGTACCAAGGGACACCATATCTTGCTTAGTAAGGGTCTATTAATGGCATTATGATGCAAAATCATCCTATGTTGCTACTTCTGGCAAGCTAGTTTGATCAAGCATGCTGCAATTGACAACTGATTTAAGCATCAGTTCACTGTGGATTGGAGCCTGTCTATGTATTTGTTTAGTGTTTGTCTATGTTTGTCTAAGATTCATGTTTGTGATTTATTTGCAACCTAAGTCTTAATGTGGTTTAGGCCTCTGAGAAACAGGCAAATAGTTATTGTCTTTCTGTTATCCAGATAAGTTGCTTTCTGCTGATTATATTATTTTTAGAATGGAATGGCAATAACAAGAGCTGAACATAGTATAAGTATTCAATTTTTACCATAAAGGTAAATGTTGATTTTTAGATTGCAATATTTTCATTTATGTAAGAAATAATTTTTATCACCATTCAGTGTAGAGAAGAATTAGGCTTCTTACAAATTTCCTTCATGTTCCAAAATCAATGAATTTTAAATTAAAGCTCCTGCCATTTCTTATTACAATCCATATAAACAAAGAAATGATACAATCTTATATATTGTAATGTAGGTTAACTTACAACTTAAGCATCTAGATCAAAATATAGTCATTTCAGTAATTTTTAGGTTGAAAAGATGTACAAGACTTCAAACAAGCCAGTAACAGAGAATTAGCTTGACAAGTAGAGGAAAAAAAATTGTCTGAAATCTTTACAGAGATGCTAGTTTAAGTTTCTGACATTCTGACAGTATGTATGTCTATGTCCAACTGAGTCATTCTGTCAGGTGGATGTGCTATGGTTTTGCAACACTGTCTGCAACATGGAAGGCATCAAGAGGTAACTACATCATCTGAGGCAAGATCAACAGCAGATCAGTAGTCACCTGGTTCATCTGGCTCAGCTTCAACTGCAGATCAACAGAACACCAAAATAATAACATTAAAATAAAGAGCTATTTCATCATCAAAGCTTTTTAATGCTTGCTGAACCTGGTAGATCCTGTATTTTTTCTCACCACTAAAAACAGACTACCTCACATTCAGTCCCAGCCCTACAAGTGAGGAGGGTCCCTTAGGCAGCAGGTTCCAGGAGGCAGCAGCAATATTAGAAGATTGATCTGTGTATCACATGACCTGTCTCTACTTTGGGCTGCAGTGGAGAAAAACTCAGCATCCATCTTTTATGCATCTTCATTTCAGGAAGCGAAATATCTAGAGCTAGCCCAGTTCATACTTCATAGTCTCTCTGATTTTTTTCAATACAAACATAGACGAGGAATGAATCAACAGCAGTTGTATCATTATCAGAATTTGTTCTGTTCTTGATGTAGAGGACCTGATGATTTAGCTGGCAGAATTGGCTTTTGATTGCAATTAACAATGAATTTCCCATTAATTGCCACATAGGGTGAAATGGTCACTATCAATCAACATTACTGAACAGAGCTTTCATTATCTCCATGGTCACAAATGAACCCACACATTTCACTATCTGTGAATCATCGAGTCATGCACTCCCATGTGTGAATCTCCTCTAAAATATCCAGGGAAAGTTAGAATAAAGATGAAAAAGCACAATACTGTAGTTAGATCAATTGATTTATAGCACAAATATTCATAATACAAAAAGATGAGTCTCCCCATGTTCAAGCAGTCAGAAAAAGTGGTCATATCACAGTTTAAACAAATGGACCATTTTCATTTCTTCATAACAGCATACAGCTTGGAACCCTAATGAGTAAAATAATGACCATGGCCTGTTTAGCTTTCTCTTGATAATGACCCTTTTGGAGGAAAAAAACTGCTTTCATTTTAAACATTTTAAGTAAGACTGTGCTGTTCATTCTTCCTTTTAAAATTGGATCTGAGGTAAAATATAGAAATCTAGATTGGGGCTAGGTAACCTGTGGCTCTTGAGTCCCTTTTCTAATACCCCTGAAGTGTTCCCTGGTCATGAATAATAAAACTGGAAGAAGTTTTAAGTCATTTTAATGTGGGGAGCAAATGAAAACTATAGCATCATCCAGTGATGGTGAACCTATGACACGCATGTCAAAGGTAACATGCCAGTGTTCACCAACACCCAACAACTATTCTTCCTGTTTGAGTTACCAAATAAACTGAGTTTGTTTTACTCATGTTTCATTTTCGTAATTATTTGACGTTTCTTTATATAATAGCACCAGACATGACTGGACTGTATTTTTTTTTTAAATAAATGAATATGTAAAGAATTGATTCTCTTTTGTTCGGGGAGGCGGTGACATGCCAGCAGAGTCAAGTTAGGCATTTTCCTAATTTTTGACACGCCGAACCCAAAAGGTTCATCATCTCTGGCATAATCCCTAAAAAAGGGCACATAATTAAAAACAGACCTTTTCCCAATTCAGCTATTTGTGATGGTGGCTTCACCCACTTTGTGGCCCTCCATTCCCCAAAAGTTGAAGTGCAGTCTTTAGACACCCAAAAGTTACTCTCTCTTGACCTAGAAAAAATACAATTTTGTATTAGTATCTCTGCATATCAAACAAACAAACGAATAAACCAGACCTACTCCCAGATGCTGGTGTGAGAGCAGGCAGATTTCCCAATAATATCCTTTTTCTGTACAGTTTACTTTAAAGAATAAGTTATTTAGGCTCAGCTACTATTTTATTCTAACTCTATTATGACACAAAATAAAAAAAGAAAAACCACCAGATGTATTTCTCTCTCACTATAGATTTGTTGCTTCATATCACGTTGCTGCCTGCCATCTGTTTTGTCTCAAGTCCTGATCATGTCTTAACAGGATAAGCTTAACAGAAATGGCATGAAAACACAGAAACACACACACACACACACACACACACACACTAAATCAATCAATCAATCAGCTCATCACCACTTTGACCACACAAAGACTTACATATTTCATTTTTTTGTTCTGAAACTGAGCACAGGATGAGCTCCAGAAGACAAGACAAAAAGGCCCATCTAGTCCACTGTCCTAATTCCTCTAACGCAAACCAGATGTTTTGCAGTCAGCTTATGAATTGAGTGGCTGGGAGTCGAGGGAGAACCATTTATGTCACTGTCGTGAACGCAACCTTTTGTAATGACATAAAGCTTGACCAAGCCTCATTTCTTAATTACTTTGGATTTGCTTTTTTATTACCTTGGAAACACTAAGACCCTTTGGAATGGCAAGATATACAGTATTCACTGGGTGAGTCACCCAGAGAAAGAATTTTTAAATATGATTTTAAAAGTTTTGGAAAAATATTATTTTTTGGATTCAATAGCAAAAGGACGCTTAGAGTATTGATTTTGGAAAGTTAACAACAGATTAATGGTCCAGATGGACTTTGATCTATAATTTTAAATTAATTAGAAGAAACCTTCCCGTAGGAAACTGTGACTGTTTGGATTTCTTTAACAGAAAACATGATGGTTATACACTAGAGGGAGCTAGAAGATAATAAAGAGTTCAATTAAAGGAGAAGGAAACTAAGGTTGTACACTAGAGGGAGCTAGAAGATAATAAAGAGTTCAATTAAAGGAGAAGGAAACTAAGTTTGACTTGTTAATAAAGAATGGAGCAAAATAATTTAATAGTGGAATTTTTGATGGGTTTTTTTGAATAACGGACTTTGAAATTATCTGATATGATAGGAGGGCGGAGCTGGTGTCGTGGCGATACAGCAGGCGATCCTGGGCTCCCAGGATCGCAGCCGATATCTCCCCCCCCCGGATGGTCCCAATGGACCTGCTGTACCGTACATCC